TCCCGGTCCGTGCGCCTAATCCCGTTGCAATCCCGGTCCGTGCTCCCACTCCTGGGGCAATCCCGGTCCGTGCTCCCGCTCCCGGTGCAATCGCGGTTCCCGCTCCTGATCCGGAACCCTGTTCCTGACATCGTAGGGTCACTCTCCCGGAGTCCTTCTGAATCCACACTCCTGGTCAGACCCAAATGGAGATCCACTCCTTGTCCAATCCCAGATCCATTCCTGGTCCGATCCCGGCTCCATTTTTGATCAAATCCGGATCTGATGAATTGCTAATACAGCTCGCAATCCTGACCCCAGGTCATGGTTCCAATCCCAATGCCACCTCCTGCTCTCAGTTCTCAGTCCCATTATCAAACTTGCACTGTTCCTGCACAGAGCCTATTCCCACTCCAAGATTAAATCTGACTCCCAGATCTGCCACTGGGCTAATCTCATTCACAACTCCTATTCAGATACTGCTCCTGCTCCAGTCCATAACCCAATCCCATTTCTGTATAACTCCAGGTCCCAAATCCATCACTGGCGCCAATACCACCCCTGCACCCACCCTGGACTCAGTCCCACTCCAGGGCACAATCCCATTTCTGGATCCAATCCCTCTCCTGAGTTCAATCCCCACTCCAAGAGTCAATCCTACTCTAAGATTCAATCCCATTCCTGGGGAGCAGGATCTCATTTCGAAGCAAAATCCCATTTTGATCTAAACCCATGAGTTCTAAATGCCACAGAGATGGTAGGCAATGGCCATCATCACCAGGCCAATCCCCATGGGGCAATTTAGCACGGCCAATCCACCTAATCTGCACGTCTTTGGACTGTGGGAGGAAACCGGAGCACCCGGAGGAAATCAACGCAGACACGGGAAGAATGTGCAAACTCCACACAGACAGTCACCCGAGGGTGGAATCGAACCCGGGTTCCTGGCGCTAATCACTGAGCCACCGTGCCTGTTCCCTGTTGCTATTAGTTAGCTCATGGTGTTATAGATCCACAAATACCTAAGTTCCCTGGATATAGGAAGGTGGGGAAATGTGCGAATGGAATAACAGAACAAGAGAACTAAATTGGATGCAAAAATATTGAGACATACACATTGCGCTGTGCCCCAAAAGGTCCTTCCCAGTGAAGGAAGGCAAGTGAGGATGACACAAAGAGGGATACAGGCAGGTTGAGTGAGTGAACAAGAGAGACAGCCCCATTTTCCAGAGTCCTGGCCTTGCCTGTGCTACAGACAATGAACAGACCTATCCCGCCAGTTTGTCAGAGACAGTGCGAATTTTCCCCTGACGCACAGCAGGAGTCCGGCTCTCAGAGCAGAGGACAGAAGGAGAGCTCTTTCAGGGCGGATGGATGGTGAGCTGAATTTGCCATTCACGTGCCTGATGGCCTCGATTGCGTTTGTAATGTATTTCTGGAGAAACATTTCCGCGTTGCGAAGTGGCAAGAGGCTTGAAACAAACTCTGCGGGCCTTGGGGAGTCCGGTGTGGCCGACAGTGACAACTGAGTTGGGAGATTCTTAAACTCTTGCGTTCGAAGCCACAAGCTATAAACCTGTCCTCCAGGACTTTGAATCATTGAATTATACAGGACAGAACAAGCAAAATACGCCATTGCCTAATCTAGTCCCACTTCCCTACACAACCTTGAATGTTAAGACACTTTTAAGTCTCATCCAAATACTTTGTAAAGATCGGTGAGGTTTCCCACCTCATCTACCCTCCCAGACAGTCTATTCCAGATTCCTACCACCCTCTGGGTGGAAAACCCTCTCCTCAAACCCCCCTCTGCCCTTCACTTTTGCATTTTGCCCCCTTGTTATTGACTCTTTCATTAAGGGGAACAGTTCCTTCCTAGCCACCCCTGTCCATGCCCCTCAGAATCTTATTCACCTCTGTCACGTCCCCCCTTCAGCCTTCTCTGTTCCAAAGAAAACAACCCGAGCTTATCCAGCATTTCTCCATCACTGAAACGCTCCACCCTAGGGCAACATGTAGATGGAGTCCCCGGATGGGAAGGTTGGCTTCCTTGATGGTCTGGGCTGTGCACACCACCTTCTGTAGTTTCTTACGGTCCTGGGCAGAGCAGTTGCCGTACCAGGCCATTATTCACCCGGACAGTATGCTTTCAACGGTGCATCTGTAGGAGTCGGTGAGGGAACTTATGGATGTGCCAAATTTCCTGAGCTGCCTGAGGAAGACGAGGCATTGTTGTGCCAGACTGATCCACACTGCGCCAGGAAACAATGTAAGAGAGGATATTTCAGGCGTGGAATGCCTCCGAGTGCGGTGGAGGCAAATGCAGCTCTGCATTTTGAAAAGAGAGGAGAGAAACTTGTGGCAGAATTGGGGGAGGGGGAACAAGTGAGTGACCGTTGTGCAGAGCTAGAATAGCAGGACATTCCCAGATTGTAAGAGCAGTGTTGTCACCCTGATGGCATGAGCTAAAATGAGATGGTAATGAAACAAAGAAGCGTCTGTGGATTTAGAGGGTGGAGTGAGAGCAACACAAGCATCGCCAACATCCATCCACTCTCTGCTAAAATGAGAGCAGTGCTTCCGATTGCAAATCTACTAACTTCTAAACTCAGTGTGGAATGTGATGCTGCTCTGAATGCCAAGGGGAGCATCTGAGGGGGAACAGTGAGACGGAGAGATAGGTAGAGTCATGGAATCATTCAGCACAGAAACAGACCCTTCAATCCAACTAGTCCATGCCAAACATAATCTCTGGACTCCCATTACCTCAGTTTCGAAGGCTTCCCATTTTCCAGCTGCCCCTTTCCCTGCAAATATCCGGCCCCAATCAATTTTTGAAAGTCCTTGCCTAATACCATCAAAATTGGCCTTCCTCAAATTCAGAACCTTAAATTCTAGATCCAGTCTATCCTTTTCTGTCACTATTTTGAAACAGATAGAATGATGATCTCTGGCCCCGAAGTGCTCCCCAAACCAACACCTCAACCACCTTATTTTTCAAGAATAGGTCAAGTTTTGTTCCTTCTCTAGTAGGTACTTCCACAGACTGAAACAGAAAAATTTTCTTGTCCATTCTTAAAAAATCCCTCATTCCACTCTGTTAATGCTGGATCAGAGCAAACACTTGTCATTTAAAAATTATGCAAAGCCAGGGAGGTGAAGGTTACTTTTGCGTCAATCCTGCTCTGAAAGATGACCAGTGGGCCAACTTACAGTAAATAAAAGAGGCTGCTGTTTTTCATCAACGGAACATCAAGCAAGACACAGGAAAGCTGACTTGCGACTTCACAGGCATGTCAAATCCCAAGAATTTTCTGAATGGATTGGCAGGATGTCCGCGCTTTCGTCGGAAATAAACGAGAAGCAATTTCCGTGAAACCGGCGAGGGGTTTGACTGGGTAGAAGCTGAGGGATCATTCCTGCTGTGGGGGGGAATCTCACCATGGGTGGGTGGGAGTTGCGGCGGATGTTGGGGGGGGTGCGGGTGGTAGTCTGGGGGCTCGTTTTCTCGGTAAGGGGGCATTGATTTCGGATTGAGGTGAAGAGAACTAGCTTCACTCGGGAGTTTCATGAACCTTTGGATAGTTCATTGGTGAATCTGTTTAAGGCTCGATTTTTGGTCTAAGATTAGAAGGGGGGCTAGGATCAGGTGGGGGCCATTCATACGCCCTAGACAGCCCTGCCATTTAATACAATTGTGGCTGATTCCATCTCAGGTACAACTCCATTTTCCTGCCCACTCCCCGTAACACTTTAACCCGTTTCTAATTAATAATCTATCTCTTCCTTAAGTTTATTCAGTGTCCCCACCTCCACTGCACTCTGGGGGGAGTGAATTCCACAGATTCATGATCCTTTGAGAGAAGTAATTCCTCCATTTTAAATCCACCGCCCCTTATCCTAAAGCTGTGACCTCTCATTCCAGATTGTCCCACATGGAGAAACACCCTCTCCATGTCTACTTTGTCAATCCCCTTTAGCATCTTATAGGCCACAATTAGATCTCCTCTCATTCGTGTAAACTCCACAGAGAGCATAGGCCTAAACTGCTCAATCTCTTCCCATCAGAAAAAAAAACCCTCACCTCTGGAGTTAATCAAGTGGACCTTCTCTGAACTGCCTCCAATGTGACTCCTATCTCTCTCAGGGACTGGAGGAGAGAGCAGGAAAACAGTGGAGTTTAGGCTAACCATGATTGGACTGAATATTGGAATAGAATCATACAGGCACAGAGCCACGTGGCACAGAAACAGACCCTTCGGTCCAACCAGTCCATGCCGACCATGTTCTCAAACTAAACTAGTCCCACCTGCCTGTGCTTTCCCCATATCCCACTAAACTTTTCCTATTCATATACTTATCCAAATGTCTTTTAAATGTTATAACTGTACCCGCATCCACCACTTCCTCTGGAAGTTCATTCCACACACAAACCATTCTCTGCGTAAAACAGTTGCCTCTCCTGCCTTTTTAAAATCTTTCTCCTCCCACCTTAAAAATATGCCCCCTGCTCTTGAAATACCCCACTCTAGGGAAAAGACAACTACCATTCACCTTATCTATAGCCCTCATGATTTTATAAACTCCTATAAGGTCACCCCTCAACCTCTTATGCTGCAGTGAAAAAAGTCCCAGCCTATCCAGTCCTCTCCTTATAACTCAAACCCACCATTCCCAGCAACATCCTGGTAAATCTTTTCTGAACCGTCTCCAGTTTAATAATATCCTTCCTGTAACAGGGCGACCAGAAGTGAACTCAGTGCTCTAAAAGTGGCCTCACCAATGTCCTGTACAACCGCAATACGACGTCCAAACTCTTATATTGAAGGGTTTGAGCAATGAAGGCAAGCATACTAAACAGTTTCTTAACCACCCTGTCTACATGTGATGCAAACTTCAAAGAATTATGTACCTGAATCTCTAGGTCTCTCTGTTCTACAACACTACCCAGAGCCCTATTTTTTATTGTATAAGACCTGCCCTTGTTTGTTTTACCGAAATGTAAAACCTCGCATTTATCCAAATGAAACGCCATCGGCCACTCCTGAACCCATTGACCCAATTGGTCAAGATCTCTTCGTAATCTCAGATAACTTTCTTCACCAAACCACCAATTTTGGTGTCATTCGCAAACTTACTAGCCGTGCCTTCTATGTTCTTGTCCAAATCGTTTACATAAATGACAAACAGCAGTGGCTGGATGGGCCAATCTCCCTTTTGCTCCTGAGAATTGGGGTAGCCCCCAGTGTTGCCTGCCAAGAGTTGGTTGGCAGCGTATGACCACCCATTGAAAGGTGGCACAATGGACGGAGGGTTGGGGCGGTTAGGTCAGGGGGACCCCGGTTGACTGGAAAGTTCCAACAGCCATCTGTTGAGCATGGATTCTCTGTCGTCTTCCTGAATGTATTGCACTCTCCATTGTAGATCCTCGACATGGCGGCCATTATCACTGTGGCATTGCTGATGATGATTCCTACTGTGTCGACGAGCGGTGAGTAATTACCTCTGGCGTTGGAGGCCAGTGAGGGCTACGCAGTGCGTGGGTCTGTGACCAGGTTTGAGAGGGAATCCTCCTCCAAGCCGGAGTCTGGATCTTGGGAATCGGGGAGATGGAGTTCTGAATGGTCGGTGGTACGTGCTTTGGCCTCAGGCCTCTCTAGCCAGAACGTGACCTTCCAACTCCTATACTCAACTGCACTGACCAATGAAGGCAAGCGTACCAAACGCCTTCTTCTGTCTGGGGTCGAGCTTCTTGAGTGTTGTTGGGGCTGCCACTGGCTTGGGAAGTGGGGGAGTATTCCCTCACCCTCCTTACTTGTGCCTTATCGATGGTGGACAGGCTTTTGGTGGGGGTGGAGGGAGTCAGGAGGTGAGTGGGATTCCCAGATCTCTTGTGCGGCAGGTCGTGTTCCGCTTCTGGCCAACGGTAAACCCCCAGGATGTCGATAATGGGAATGGAATCAGGAATGTTTATGCCATTGAACGTCAGAGGGGCGATGGTGGAATTTAATCTTTTTTTTAAGGAGAGATCATTGCCTGGCACTTGTGTGTGGGCATGAATTGTCATACTCTGTACAGATTCTACCCTTCAACTATTTCACCCTGGCCCCTTTTCAATGGGCCACATTTTGCATTAACTGTGTGTCTCCTTGCACAAGTCTATCTTTTTTCCTCGGTTATTCGCGAGATGTAAGCCCTAAACCGAGCTTAAACAACTCTGCAGAGGCTGGTTTCCCGTTCCAAGTCACCTTTTATTTATTCGTGCACAGTACGTGGGCCCTGACCAGTGAGCTCCGATCTGGTCCCTTGAACCGCTGACACCCCTGTTTATTTCTCCTTCTTAGAGACTTTGAATCCCCTGTTTATTTGTTTTTATAATCACCTGTGCAACGACTTGGTAAAAAAGACATCGCTGTGTAAGAACTCTAGTCAATATTTCCACCGCCAGAATAAATCACACAAGATAGTAGGAACTGCCGATGCTGGAGTCTGAGAAACAAGGTGTGGAGCTGGAGGAACACAGCAGAGAATAGATCACACACCAGGCCAGTGCACTAGGGACAAGCAAGGCCCAATAGGGGGCAATGCTTATGTGGAAGGGAGAGGGTGAGGATTAAACTAAAATAGAGTTGGGGGGGTGGGAAGTAAAGCACTCTGAATGCCCCCCACCACCCCCATTGTGCCCACCTGTCCCTAAAGGCGTAGAGAGTGTTGATGATGGACACTGCACGCTCCCTCTCCAGGGATGCCTGGGAACGAACCTAACTGCTGAAGAAGTGGGGGGGAGGGGGCAGTCGGCTGAATTTCACCCCCCTCCAACCTCTACTGTAGGCCCGCTACCTGGACCCGTTTGTAGCCACCTTGGCCGGGCCCGGGTGCAGATCCATGAGGTGATCCCCCCGACCCGCCCGCTCTGGGTGCCCAAAGGTCAGGAACGTGGGGCTGAAGCGCAACCGGAAACACGAGAGGTCTGTCGGGGGGCAGGGGGTGCGAACGCCCACAGCCAACTTGCACGTGGCCCACTGACCCTGTGGCGCCATGAAGGAGAGAGTTGGGCTGGGACTCCATGAATCGCCGCAAAATGAGGTTACGGGGGAACTGCCGTGTACAACAACCTCCCACCCCAGGTTCCCGAGGGAAAGAGGGAGGACCCGGGCGTAGAGAGGCCTCCGTTGGGAATCTCCTCTGTCCGAGCGCGGGGCGAAGGAGAAGAGGTAAATGCTGTGCAGCAGCAATGCCATTCTAGGAATTAAGTGCTGTTTGGCCTCACTAAAGGACACATAACACATATGCCAGAGACAGCTCACCTGTGGGGCACAGGCACCTGAAAGGAGGGAGACTCCTGTTTCTATCTGTCAGCCAGGGCTCCCTAATTGGACCAGGTTAAACATTGTAACTGTGGCCACTTCCTCAGGAAGTTCATTCCACACACAAGCCACCCTCTGAGTTTCACATTTGCCCCTCATGTCTTTTTTAAGTCTCTCTCCTCTCACCTTAAAAATGCCTTGAATATGAAAAATGCCTATTGCCTTGAAATCCCCCATCCTGGGAAAGGACAACCACCATTAGCCTTCTCTATACACATCATTATTTTATAGACTTCTATCAGGTCGCCTCTCAACCTCCTATGCTCCAGTGAAAAGAATCCCAGCCTATCCAGCCTTTCTTTATAACTCAAAGCTTCCATTCCCACCAACATCCTGTACCCCCTTAATATGACGTTCAATTCTCCTATTCTCAAAGGACTAACCACCTATGATGCAAACTTCAAAGAATTATGTACCTGAACCCTTAGGTCTCTCTGTTCTACAATGCTACCCAAGGCCCTACTTTCAATGATATAAATCCTGCCCTTGTTTGTTTTACCAAAATGCAATACCTCGCATTAATCCAGATTGAACCCCACCTGCCATGTTTCATTAACCCTTTTGACCAAGATCCCTTTATAATCTCAGAAAACCTTCTTTACCAAAATGCAATACCTCGCATTTATCCAGATTGAACTCCACCTGCCATGTGGGTTATAGGGTTAATGTGGACTTGTTGGGCCGAAGGGCCTGTTTCCATGCTAGGGATTCTATGAAATTCTATAAAAACTATGCTGTATTTCATTAACCTGTTTGACCACGATCCCTTTGTAATCTCAGGAAACCTTATTCACTGTCAACCATTCCACCAATCCTTCTTCTGTCCTCTTCCAGGTGGGCTCTGGCAGTTTTCCGCAGTATTCCCCGAAAGGTCCGACGTGAATCACGTGAAGTTGCTCCCGCTGCGGGTTATCTCTGGACGCCCTGACGCTCTGCATGCGCCTGGCCTCCACGGACCTGGACAGGGACGTCATCCTGTTCTCGTACGCCTCTCAGTTCACCGCGAACGAGCTGCACATCTGGCTCAGGCAAGATGGGAGATACGCCTTCTACATACGGGACATCGTCGCCCACTTCAAGCTGCCGCCTCTGGATGACATGCTGAGGCACCTCTGCTTCACTTGGGAGTCGGAGACCGGGGCCACCACTGCTTGGATGGATGGACAACCGTCGCGGACAAAGATTGCGGCCCAGGGTCAGTCAGTGCATGAGCCAGCCATCGTCATGATAGGTCAGGACCAGGACAACCTGGGAGGCAGCTTTGAAGCCAAGCAGTCCTTTGTCGGCGTTCAAAGGGACATCCACCTGTGGGACCGTGTTCTGACGGCCGACGAGATCAAATCCATCGCTCAGGGCGGTGCCAGGCTGGGTGGTGACATCATCAACTGGGATAGGGGGCATTTTAAGGCAGAAGGGGGCGTCCAATTCGAGCCTGTGCTCAATTACTTTGATTTGGCTTCGCGGCAATCATTCCGTTCTTGCATGTAGTATGTTGGATGTATACGCCACTTGAAAAGCATCGCATATTAAAGTTGAATCAGAGATAGTAGGAACTGCAGATGCTGGAGAATCCGAGACAACAAGGTGCAGAGCTGGATGAACACAGCAGGCCAAGCAGCATCATAGGAGCAGGAAGGCTGACCTTTCGGGCCTAGACCCTCCTTCGGGCCTTTTCTGAAGAAGGGTCTAGGCCCGAAACGTCAGCCTTTCTGCTCCTATGATATTGCTTGGCCTGCTGTGTTCATCCAGCCCTGCATATTAAAGTTGCATGTTTGAGCCTTCTTACCTCATCACTCCTTGTGGTAACTTCTACTGCTGATGTTTAGAATAGGGATTGTCCATGTAAACGTGCCACTCTCTAATTACGCCCTCCTACTGGCAGCAGTGGTGCATTTCCTCTGCTTTGTCCCCATCCTCAGCCAAGTCCTGTTCGGCAATCCCTCTGCTCTGATCAAGTCTACTCCCTCGCATTCCGTCATCCAATGAGGTGGAAACTCTTCGCCGTGAAAACCTTTGTATGGTAACGAGTCACTTGTACAGCCACTGGGCCACCATTAGGCCGGGGGTCTACCGATCTGTCTTACTGCTTTTTTCCCATGTGAGGTCCAAAGGATCTGGCCTGTAATCCAATTTCAATCTGTTGTTTCTGGGTGATCAGGTTGTGATCTAAAGCCCCATTTCTGAAGAAGGGTCTAGGCCCGAAACTTCAGCCTTCCTGTTCCTCTGATGCTGCTTGGCCTGCTATGTTCGTCCAGCTCCACACCTTGTTATCTGTGATCTATCTAATTCCCACGCAATCCATGCAGTTGGCACCATGCCCAAACTTTTGTAGATCTTGGGTTTTAGCCACTGGAGTGCCAAGGGGGCTGTATCATTCTCACCCCCTCGTCCCCAAACACTCTTCAATAGCCTTGGTTTGTGTTGAGTTTTAATCAGCACCTCTCCATGTCCTTACCCGAACCCTGCTGTCTAACTTTAACCTCTTACAGTTAATTCATCTCCCTTCATTTTAGACCTCTCAATCCCTGGAAACAGTCTCTTGTGTTCGAAACCATCCCTACAGCACTTTAGACGTAGAATCATAGTTATGGGGTCACACAGCATGGAAACAGAATATGCTGACCATAATTCCAAACTAAACTAGTCCCTCCTTCCTGCTGTTAGCCCATACACTCCAAACCTTTCCTATTCATGTACTCAGCTAAATGTCTTTTAAACATTGCAACTCTACCTGCACCCACCACTTCCTCTGGAAGTTCATTCCACACATGAACCACTCTCTGTATAAAAAAATCGTACCTCATGTCCTTTTTAAATCTTACTCTTGTTACCTTAAAAAATATGCCCCTGATCTTGAAATACCCCACCTAAGGTAAAAGACACCTGCCATTCACCTTATCTACATCCCTCATGATTTTATAAACCTCTATAAGGTCAGCTCTCAATCTCCTACACTCCATTGTAAGAAGTCCCAGCTTATCCAGCCTCTCCTTTTAATTCAATCCCTGTATTCCCGACAACATCCTGGTAAATCTCTTCTGAACACTCTCCAGCTTAATAATATCCTTCCTATAACAGGGAGACCAGAACTGGACACAGTACACCAGAAGAGTCCTCACCAACGTCCTGTACAACCTCGACATGACGTCCCAACTCCTATACTCAAAGGTCTGAGCAATGAAGGCAAACGTGCCAAATGCCTTTTTAAACACCCTGTCTACGTGTGAAACAGATTTCAAAGAATTATGTGCCTGAACCACTCAGCGCCTCTTTCTGTTCTATAACACAGCCCAAGGCCCTACATTTAATTATATCAGTCTTGCCTTTGTTTGCTTTACCAAAATGCAATACCTCACATTTATCCAAATTAAACTCCATCTGCCATTCTTCAAAATCACTTCATAATCTCGTATAAGTGAACGAATACAACCAGACAACTCCACCTAATGCCCAGTCGATTATTAAATCTGCATTGTACCCTCTCTATCAAAAAATATCCTAAAGAATTGTGAATGCTGGAAATCAGAAACAAAAACTGAAACTGCTGGAGAAACTCAGCAGGATCTGTGGAGAGAGAGAGAAGCAGAATTATTGTTTCAGAGCTGATTGCATGTGAGCTTCCAGTACTACCCCATCAACCTCTGGATCCGACACATCATCCTCCGCCACTTCTGCCACCTGCAATCTGACCTCACCACCAAAGATATATTTCCCTTCCCACCCTTATTTGCCTTCCGGAGGGACCGCTCTCCCCGCGACTCCCTCGTCCGCTCCACACTCCCCACTAGCCCCACCACCCCCGGCACTTTTCCCTGCAACCGCAGGAGGTGCTACACCTGCCCCTACACCTCCCCCCTCACCCCCATCCCAGGTCCCAAGAACACTTTCCACATTAAACAGATGTTCACCTGTACAACCGCTAATGTGGTATGTTGTGTCAGCTGTTCTTGATATGGCCTCCTCTACATTGGGGAGACCAAGCGGAGGCTCGGAGACCACTTTGTGGAACACCTACGCTAGGTTCGTGACAAACAACTGCACCTCCCAGTCGCGAACCACTTCAACTCCCCCTCCCACTCCTTGGACGACATGTCCATCCTGGGCCTCCTCCAGTGCCACAACGATGCCACCCGAAGGAGCAACACCTCATATTCTGCCTGGGAACCCTGCAGCCCATTGGGACTTTACAAGCTTCAAAATCTCCCCAACTCCGACTTCATCCCAAGACCAGCCCCTCTCGTCCTCGCCTCCTTGACCTGTCTGTCTTTCTCCCACCTATCCGCTCCTTACACCTCACTGACCAGCCCCCACCCCACTCCCTACCCACTAGCCTCATCCCTGCCTCCTTGACCTGTCCGTCTTCCCTCCCACCTATCCGCACCTCCCTCCTCACTGACCAACCCCCATCCCGACTCCCTACCTACACTCACCTTTACTGGCTTCATCCCCGCCTCCTTGGTCCGTCTTCTCTCCACCTATCTGCTCCTCCATCCACCTTCTATCATCGCCTCACCCTCTCTCTATTTATTTCAGAGCCCCCCTCCCCTCCCCCACTTCTGAAGAAGCGAAACAACCGTAAATCACACGTCTATTTAAAATATACATCACCCAGCGCAGTGGTCCATCAGAAACTGCACCCAAAACTAAAGCACAGACTGAGCAACTTCAGAGTGTTAGCACAGAAGGTGGAAGATAAACAGTGTCAAATGCAGATCAACCAAGGTATTGTATTTTGGTAAAGCAAACCAGGGCATGACTTATACAATTAAAAGTAGGGCCTTGGGTAGTACTGTAGAACAGAGAGACTGAGGGAATCAGGCACATAATTCTTTGAAATTTGCAACACATTTGGACATGGTGGTTAAGAAGGTGTTTAGCACAATTGCCTTCCTTGCTCGGACCTTTGAGTATAGGAGTTGGGGTGTCATGTTGAGTTTGTACAGGACATTGGTGAGGCCTCTTCTGGAATACTTTGTCCAGTTCTGGTCACCCTGTTATAGGAAGGATATTATTAAGCTGGAGAGGGGTCGGAAGGGATTTGCCAGGATGTTGCCAGGACCTGGAGGGTTTGAGGTATGGGTAGAGGCTGAATAGGCTGGGACTTTTATTCACTTGAGCATAGGAGGTTGAGAGGTGACCTTATAGAGGTTTATAAAATCATAAAGGGTATAAATAAGGTGAATGGCAGGTGTCCTTTCCCAAGGGTGTGGGATTTAAAGACCAGGGGCCATATTTTTAAGGTGAGAGGAAAGGGTCTGTTTCCATGCTGTATGACGCTATGAGTTGGACTGAGCGAAGAGCTAGAAAAGAGAAGACTAAGTGATTCATATAGAGGACTTAACTACGATGATTGCTCCAAAGGATGGTGCAAGCCTGTAGGGCCATGATTACATGATAATCACCAACAAATCCTACAGGGTGAGATTTCAGCAGATAACTCCTTAGACTGAGAGTGATGGAACCTGCTGAAATGTTTGAGGTGAGGAGCCAGAAAGCATTTCAGGAAGAGCTAGCTTAAAACCTGTTGGAGAAAGGAATTGAAGAACACGTTTAAATGTGAAATAACTCCACGGAGACCGGTATCCCATCACCAAGTCACCCTTTATTTACATGTGTACAGTACATGGATTCCTAACAGTCAGCTCAGAGCAAGTCCCTAGAGTGAGGAGACTCTCTGACACTCCTGTCAGCCAGGGCTCCCTGATTGGACCAGGTTAACAGCCCCAATCATGGAACTCATATTCTGTGAGACTTACCTGGCTAACTTCATTCCTGTCACTGCAAAATGGATAAAGGCTCACCCCAAATCCTGGGTGGAATGTGTCTGAAGTCACAGTAAACCCACCGTTCCTCAGGAAGGATATATTGGCCTTGGAAGGGACTGCGGTGCAGATGAACCAGAATGTTCTGTTTTCTGACTCGTTTCATGGGATGTATCGTCCATTCCTAATTCTCAGAGGGCAGTGAGGAGCGAGCCATGTCGGCTGTGGGTCTGGAGTCACATGGAAGCCAGACCTGGCAAAGATGGCAGATTTCCAATTTGTGAGTTGATTAGTCGCCATTAAGCTGGCTTTTTTTTTTAGAAATTTCCGATTTTTATTGAATTCAAATGTTCATCGTCCATCACAAATGGAATTTGAACCCATGCTCCCCTCAGAATATTAGCCTCAGATCACCAGCCCAGTGGCATTTCCAACTAAGTCTCCTCCCAAGATCCCCTCAGCTTCCAATTAAACGCCTTGGAGAGAATCCAAAGTAGATTCACCAGAATGTTACTTTTTCTAAAAAAAATCATTCTTGGAATACAGGCCCAGCATTAATGATCTATCCCTAATTGCCCAGAAGGCAGTTAAGAATGAAGCCCATTGATGTTTGCCTGGAGTTATGTGTAGGCCAGACCAGGTAAGGATGGTAATTTCCTTCCCTAAAAGACATGAGTGAACCAGATTGATTTTTCCAACAATTGACAATGGATTCACGGTTATCAGCAGACTCCAAATTTTTATTGGATTCCAATTCTTTCTTGTGGTGGGATTCAAATACCACACTCCGAACATTCCCAGGGCAAATGCTGTAGTGATAAATACCACTTGGTCATCGCTGCCTGGAATCCGAGAGTTAAATCAGGGGAGATTACACACAAACTAAGCTTGGATCCTTAATTTAGAAGTCCAGGTATGTATTAAATGGAAGCTTCCAAGTTCGTAAGGGGAAGAGATTAGATGTGGAGAAACCACTTCCTGTACAGATTTAAGAGATTTACCAGGAAGTTGCCAGGAATCCAGGGTTTGACTTATAAGGAGAGGCTGAGTAGGCTGGGACTTTTTTCACTGGAGTGTAGGAGGTTGAGGGATGACCTTATAGAGTTTTATAAAATCACAAGGGGTAAACATAAGGTGAATGGCAGGGATCGTTTCCCTAGGATGAGGGATTTCGAAACTAGGGGGCATATCTTTCAGGTGAGAGGAGAAAGATTTACAAAAGACATGAGGTGCAATTTTTTTTAACACAGAGAATGGTTCATGTGTGGAATGAACTTCCCAGAGGTTAAGGTGAATAGCCAAGGCCTTTTTTACCCAGGGGAGGGGAATCCAAAACAGGCGAGAGGGGAAAGATTTAAAAGGGACCTGAGGGGCAACTTTTCACGCAGAGGGTGGTGCGTGCATGAAATGAGCTTCCAGAGGTGATGGTGGAGGCTACAGCATTTAAAAGGCAACTGGATGGGGACATGAATAGGAAGGGTTTAGAGGGATATGGGCCTAATGCTGGCAAATGGGGCGTGATGAATTTAGGATATCTGGTCAGCATGGACAAGTTGGACCGAAGGGTCTGTTTCTGTGCTGTACGACTCTATGAATTGAATTTAATTCAAATGTTGTCGAATTTGAAACTTTGTCTCCAAATGGTTAGTCCAAATTTCTGAGCGACTACATCCATCGACATTGGTGTCATGCCGCAGATATCGAGATAGACCGCAGTTCACTGCGTCAAAATCCTGGAACCCGTCCGTAACTGACCAACGTATGAGGAGAGATTGAGTCGGTTAGGATGGTGTTCATTGGAGTTCAGAAGAATGAGGGGGTAAATCTCATAATAAGCTACAAATTCTAACAAGGCTGGACAGAGGTAAACACAGGAAGGATGTTCCCAATGACGGTGGAGGGGGGGAGTCCAGATCCGGGGACTGGTGGGAGAGGCGGGGTCACAGTCTAAAGGAGACAGGGTAGGACTGAGATGAGGACAAATGTCTTCACCCAGAGAGAAGGGAACCTGTGGAGTTGCCTGCTCCAGGAAGCTATTGAGGCCAAAACATTGTATTTCCAAGAATGTACTATTCTTGTGGCTAAAGGGATCATGGAATATGTGGGGACACATGATTATGGGATTGAACACGATGATCAAAGAATGACAGAGTAGGTTGGAAGGGCCGAATGGCCTACACCCGCTCCTATCATCTCTGTCTCTATGTATCTGGCAGCCCTAGGTGTCCCTACGCCACCAAGGACCGTGGCAGGTCAAGATGGCGGCTTCTCCAGGGGGCATGTAGGGACGGGGCAATTAACACCGGGGTCAGCAAATCAATGTTGAAAGGATACCAGAATAAAGGAAGGAAAAACAAAGAGAAGGAGATGACGAGGAAAGAAAAGGTGTTGGGGTGGGAGGAGAGGAAAATCGGCAGAAGAGGGAGAGAAAGAACCTGCTGAAGATGAGAAGGGTATGACGTTGCCTCAGAACAATGGCACCCACAACCGGGTACATCTGTGGGCACTGTAGGGAGCGGTGTACCAATTGCTCCGTGGGTCTGAGTGAATGGGATGGGGGGGGTGGGTGTTGGTGAATGACTGTCCCATGTTTAAAGGATTGGATTCCAATTTTGCCAGCCCAACCCCCTCTTAAGGGGCGACTTGAGTCCTGTATTCCCAGGAATGCCTGTGCGAGACCGGCCTTGGTATGGATTTGGGGGATTTGGGCAAGCAGGTGAGTTGGCCAAGTTGGTGACTCTGCGTTGAACGCTTGGGCTGATTGTAATCCCCATGTTAACTTGTTGCAATATCATGAACCCCATTCATATTAAACACAACACAATCCCCCATCATTGCTCCCTTGTGTCCCTGGCAGTCTGGCTCATCACCACCACTCCATACCAACCCCTTCCAGTGTATTTATCATGAAATAAAGGTTTTTGCTATAGGTATTGCGCCTCAGAACACACGGTGGGCCAGCTGGGTCGAAGGTGTGCCCATTTGTCGATGAGTGCCCGCTGTCCTAATGTCAAAAGAAACAGGCGAGAACAGGAAAAGAGGGAGAACTGAAAGCAATGGTCCTCAGGGAATTTCAAATCAGAACGTCGAGGAACTGCCCCTTCAAGGGTCACTTCTGCCCCCTTGTTGCCCCATTACAAGTCGTCATCCTGTAACAGAGAAGAGAGAGAAAGGTTGTGATGAGTGAGATTTGAAAAGGGGTGGGGGGAATGGCTAGTCCTTAGATAGGGGCAGAGCTTTGGTGGAGCACCTTCTTAGAAAGGGTCTCAGTCACGAACAGATAAGGGTCCAAAATTGGCTTAGAGATAGGAGACAGAGGGTGGAAGTGGAAGGCTGCTGGTGTGACCAGAGCCCAGTGTGCAGTGGCGTACCGCAGGGATCAATGCTGGGTCCCTTATCGTTTGCTATATTCGTAAATGATGGAGGTGAGAAGGTGCAGGAGATGGTAAGTGGGAGGCACGGTGGCTCAGTGGTTAGCACTGCTGCCTCACAGCGCCAGGGACCCAGGTTCAATTCTACCCTCGGACAACTGACTGTGTGGACTTTGCTCATTCTCCTCGTGTCTGCGTGGGTTGCCTCTGGGTGCTCCGGTTTCCTCCCACAGTCCAAAGATGTGCAGGTTTAGATGGATTGGTCGTAGGCGATGCGGGGTCACAGGGAGGGTCCTTCAGAGGGTCAGTGCAGGCTCAACAAGCAGAATGGGCTCTATCAGCACTGAGGTGGTTCTATAAGTAGTTTGACAACGATTGTCTGAGTGAGGAGGAAGGTGTTAGGTTACAGGAAGATATAAACAGGTTGGTCAGATGGACAGATCAGTGGTAGATGGAGTATTACCCTGAAAAGTGTGAGGTAATGCATGGTGGAAGAGGGAACAAGACGGGGACTACTCAAAGAATGGCAGGACACTAGGAAGCTCTAGGTAGCAGGGTGGTTAAGAAGGCATATGGGACAATTACCTTTATCAGTCTTGACACAGATTATAAGGGAGGGGAGGTCATGTTGGAGCTGTATAGGACTTTGGTAAGGTCCCAGGAGTACAGTGTGCAGTTCTGGTCCCCACACTATCGGAAGGACATGACTGTACTGGAGGGGGTACAGAGGAGATTCACCAGGATGTTGCCCTGGGATGGGGCATTCAGGTGATGGAGAGAGGCTGGATAAGCTCAAGTTGTTTTCTTCGGAGCAAGTAAGGCTGAAGGAGGATGTGATAGAGGTGTATAAGATCCTGAGGGGCATGGACAGGGTGGATAGAAAGGAACTGTTCCCCTTAATCAAAGAGTTAGTAACAAGGGGGCAAAATGCGAAAGTGAAAGGCAGAAGGGGGTTTGAGGAGAGAGTTTCTCACCCAGAGGGTGGTGGGGCGGTTGGGGGGGTGTTTCTGGAATAGACTACCTGGGAGGGTAGTTGAGGTGGGAAACCTCACAACCTTTAAAAAGCACTTGGATGAACTTTTTTTTAATTCATTCGTCAGATGACGGCATCGCTGGCTGGGCAGCATTTATTGCCTAGCGGCATTGGAAGGGTCAGAACATTCAAGGAGGAGTTAGAGGTGGCACTTGGGGCTCAAGGGTACGGGGGTGGGGGTAGATGTGGGAACAGGGAACTGAGTTGGATGGTCAGCCATTGAATGGCTAGAAGAGGCTCGAGGGGCCGAACAGCCTACTCCTGCTCCGATTTCCTCTGTTTCCACAAGAATGGCGCCAGGAGTGTTACAGAAATGTCAGAATATTGAAGGTTATGGGCCGAAAGTGGGACAGTAGGGCCAGTGTAGGTAGTCATGTATTTGCGGCAGGACAGACTCGATGGGTCAAAGGCCCTCACCTGTACCATTCGATTCTGTGAACCTCTGGTTCAGAAGCACTGTTCAACATTTGGGGAACCAATCGCCAAAGGGGAACCGTGGTGTTATTTCAAAAGAAACATACGTTGGACTATGAAGATAGCAGTAAACTTCATGAGGGCGTTGAGGGGCTAGTAGACGAGAACATGATGGAACCCAACCCCCCAACCCGCTCCATGAAAGTGGAGACGACAAACAATTTCGATAAGAAATCAGGAGGGAGCCCTTGTGGGAAATAAATCAATTTGGGCAATGAGGGATAGAGACAGGAAGGAAGAACAACAATGACTTGCTGTGGAGGGAGAGCCAGCATGGCTAGTGGCGCTAAATGGCCTCCGTCTGCCACTAGAACGCCTTAGCGAAGGGGGACTGGGAGCTTAGTGCCAACGCTGGGTGAGGGGGGCAGCGGGAGAGGCATCATTGATTGTCAAACCATCAGAAGAGACAACGCCACAGAGAATAACTATGAGTCTATGAGTCTGTGACAAAGAATGAAGCCAGTTCTTACGTCTTTCCTGCCTTTCTTCCGGCAATCTCCGCAGAAAACTCCAATGCACCCATTGATCACCTGCAAGCCGCAGAAGATCAGCTCAATGGCACTGGCCATGAGGAGAATGGAGAAGAGGGAGACATTCCACACGACGATGTTTGGAGGATTCTGGCAGGTCTTCCACAGCGTCTGGTTCATCAGGTAACTGCGCGGAGGAGCGAGAGCCCAATCAAATCTGTTAGCAATGGGCGGAAGAGCGAACCGCAATTCTCCGACGTTCACCCCCTCCCTACCACTCACTCATAATTACGACAGGAGAAGTACCAGTGCGGTTGTGGGAATGTCACTATCCAGGTAACCTGGAGGGCAGGGTCAGGGTCAAGATCAGGGTTAGGGTTAGGGTCAGGGTCAGGGTTAGGGTTAGGGTTAGGGTCAGGGTAAAGGTCAAGGTTAGGGTCAGGGTCAGGGTTAGGGTTAGGGTTAGAGTCAGGGTTAAGGTTAGAGTTAAAGTGAGGGTTAAGGATAGGGTTAGGGGGTAAGGATGGGGATAGGGTCAGGGTCAGGGTCGGGGTCAAGGTTCAGGTCAGCATTAGGGTCAGAATCTGGGTCAGGGAAGGGTCGGCGCGGATGGCGCCAATGTCAAAGTAAGACCTGTGGCCAGGATGGACTGCCTACCTGCTGGTGGAGTTCAGGAAGGGGTACTTCCAGTTGCCAGTGCCAATGTCACACAGTGGACCATTCGTCAAAGCCGTCGAAGACACGGTGAGACAGTACAAGGAACCCAAGGTGCCAAAAAGTGAGGAGAAGACAGACCGCAGCATCTAAAAAGAGAAAGCCAACGGGGTCAACCATATTTCCAAAGAGTGCTGTCTTCGGCATGTTCCAGCGGAGGTTTACAAGAGCGATCCCCGGGGATGAGGAGCTTCTCAATTGAGGAGAAGTAGAGGACTCTGGGTCAGTACGCGATGGAGTTTTGAAGGACTGGGGGAGGGAATCTTTTTGAAACTTACAGAATACTGTGAGGCCTGGATAGAGTGGACGTGGAGAAGATGGTTTGACCAGTCAGAGGCACTAGGACCCAAGGGCACAGCCTCGGAGTGAAGGGACTATACTTTAGAACTGAGATGAGGAGAAATTTCTTCAGCCAGGGGGTGGTGAATCTGTGGAGCTCATTGTTACAGAGTGTTGTGGAGGCCAAGCCATTGAGTGTCTTTAAGACAGAGATGGATAGGTTCCTGATTATTGAGGGGGTCAAAGGTTACGGGGAGAAGGCGGGGTAATGGGGTTGAAAAACATATCAGCCATGATTGAATGAATGGAGCTGACTCGATTGACCAAATGGCCTAATTCTGTTGCTATATCTTATGGTCTAAGTGGTAGATAGGTTAGAGGGCATCAGTCTACTGCTGTATCCCTTGTCAACCGTTTAGTGGAGTTGGCTGGGAATTGAAATAGAAACAGAAGTTGCTGGAAAAGCTCAGCAGATCTGGCAGCACCTGTGAAGAGAAATCAGAGTTAACGTTTCAGGTCTGGTGACGCTTCCTCAGATCTTCTGAAATTTGACATTCTTGTATCGATCCTGATGGCTGTGAGGCAAATAACTTCTGCTAACGCCTCTCTCTTTTCAGTATGACCCACTATTATACCAATGACCCACCGTTATATCAATGGCCCAATATTATACCAATGGCCCATTGCTATCCCA